TCAGCAAAGCAGGCAAGATGCATCCAATTTCCTAGGGTATAGCAAGTCTCACAATATTTCCAGAGTCTCTCAAAGGACAAGAGAAATACATATATTCTCTCCGAGGAGAATGAGCTTTGGACAGCCACAAAGATCTTTCCTTACTTATAGCATTTCTGGAATTGTCAACTAAACTCCACTTAGTGCATTTCTCCTACAAAAAGAACAGAGTTTTTGGATTTTATTTATAGGACACCAGACCTATCATTATCAAGGCTTTCCTGAAGGGGTGAATTCCAAAGCACCAGCTTCAGACCTAGCATCCCTGCTTATAATACATTGAGAAGCCCTCATGTAAAAATGCTAAAGACCCAAAACCATACCTTTGTTGAACATGCCATATCCACCTCGACCTCTACCTATTCAGTGAAAGAAAATATAGTTTAATAAATTCACACTTTTAACATTTTGTTTCATCTAAGTCTAATCTAAACTTTAACATTTGAAAAATACTGCAGCACTTGCTTGGAAACTGGCTGTTTCCATTATTAAACCTGTAAATATTGCAAAACATTTTTTACATAACCAAGAACATGGAGTTGTCATTTTAACAAATCTTGCCACTTCCCAACAAAAAAGTGATATATCATAAGCACATCTGTAACATACCTACTAAATTACTGGTCAAACCTTTAATGGTAAACCACCAGCTACATTTTGAAAACTAAAAATGATCATATGGTTAGAAAGTAGATCGAAAACCATAACTGAACAACATAGCTTGCTGTGGCTAACTCAACGTTGCATCACATGCCAAACACAGGAACCATTGCCCTAAACAACATTACAGGCCGGCCACACATCTTCTGTATGGCCGGCCTGGGTACAGTTTTAAAGCTGCAGCCGTGGAGCCGAGAAAGCTATTATGACTGTTCAATATTCAAATGAAACCGATCGCACTCCTGACCGAATAAAAACCCTTTGGAGTTGGCTGGGTGCAAAGAGCGACTACGGATGCCTCCGTGAATCAATAAATGAATGTAGAAAAAAAGTTACCCGCACTCCAGATTAATTTTCAGTCAATGTTCATTGACCTCTCATCATGTCATATTTTCAAGCTGTTATGATTGAACGCAGTTAGGATTACTAAAGAAACATCATCAAAAGCCAAAACTAAACTACCACACTCCTCTCTCAGTAGAAAGAAGACATCCATCACCTAAGGAGACTATCAAAAAACCTGAGGATTAGGGGGATGTGTTCCAATAGGGACACCTGGCTTTGTAGCACACTGCAATACAAAGATGCCAATCACCATTTCATTGGGTGTTCTACAGGACAAGAAAAACAGTGCTTACAACGCTTTAATTTTAGAATAAATTAGCCAGGTTGACACAGTGCACCTTAATGCACAGTATGTTAACACAGCATAAAGTGTGAATAAGGCCTAAACAAATCTGTCAACATGCCTTTTTGGAACTAAGAAGCAAAAAAGAAAAAAAATACCTAAAACTGGCTTAAAAGGACAATACAAATAGTAAAGTTTCATATTTCCTTAAAAAATTTAACTGCTTTCTGACCATGATAAAATAATGTACAAATACTCTCTCCAATCAGCCGCACGAAACCGAGGTCAATAAAAATCCAACTTTATTGTGGTAAGTTCCATGCAAAGTTCAAAATACAAGGTACACACCACCATATTATCTCCCCAACGCGTTTCACCAACTGGGCTTCTTTGACAATCGTAGTGAAGCTTAAAGGTGCCTATACACTCTTTGATTTTCGGTCAGATACATATATACACAATTTAAAAAAATATATTTTAATTAAAGTTGAATGTAATTTTTCATTTTGGCCTGACAAATCCTGCTGCAGAATGTGCAATGCGGTGCTAATCATTTCAATGGCACCCCAAATGCGCTTCCCGCCTGCATTGTGATTGTCCACACTGGAACAAGTGGTACTGCAATGCCGTGCATCCCGATTACAAAAAATTGTGCATGCAGTTTTATTATGAATTAAACTGTTTGTAAAACTATTTTAAATAAGATATTTATTTTGCTTTCATCCGATTAGTCGATTAATCAAAAAAATAAGCAGCCAACTAATTGACCATGCTGATTTTATATCTGTAACAATACTGAAGCCAGGCATTTAACATTTCCAAAAAGGCAGCCAAGCAATGGCAGCCCCATACCATTCACTTGATAGATACTAAAGACTATCAATTGCTAATTACTAATGCCTGTCAGCACTAATGCAGCTTACGTAAAAGGCTAGAAATTATACAAGTCAAAAGACTGCACACAAAACAAACAAAAAAGCTTCCCAAGTACCTCTTCGGTTTCCAAATCCTGTTTCCGAAGACTTCAAATCTTGGTTGTAGTCACTGTTTACTAGAATGAAAGATTCTTAGATATATTTTTGTAACTATTTACTTCACGGGATTTTTATAATACAAAGAACAATATAAATCAAATGTATGTCTTAGTAGAGTTTGTAAACTAAATGACCAGACACACGAAAGTCAAAGTTTGGGTAAAAATGAATACTTTTTTGGATTCTTATAAGGTTTCTGTAGAAACACAAATACATACAGTCTCCATGGGGGACATTTATCAAGCAAATTAACAATGCGATTAATCGAACATCGTCCGCCTTTCATTCAGCAAAGTCTCTGCGACAGGTTTACAGACCTCTAGTGTTTGTGTTCCTGGACACCCGTAAGTGCGACAGCTTGCAAAGTTCTGAGACAGATATACATAGATTAAGAAGTGGTCAGGGTTAGGTTTCATTCTGTCCTAGCACTACTTTAGAGCAGGTGAAAGACAAATGTATGACAAGCTGAACCCCGGAAAGAAATCTGCTGCAGGATTTCACTGCTTCAGTTTAGTATTACTGTGCGGAAAAAAAAAATCATAAATGTTGGTAGGATCTGAACCCAAACAATGCAAACAATACACTATTAGACACTAAGCCACCCCTACTACATCTTGTGCATTAACAAGGGAAGGTGGGGAGGGGTTGGTTCATCATTGCAGCCATTCCCACCAATAAGAATGGGCTTTTGTTGCTGGGATAAAGCAGTAGTACAGATAAGTGCAGGGGCACCTGCGGATGCAGCTACCTGAAAGGGGGTTATCCCTCATTAATGAGTGTTTTCCTAGTTTTATTACAATAAATATGTCTAACATTTTTTAACTCTGGCACTTTTTAAAGGTGGACACCGCTAAAGTAGAAAATAAAGTTGCTAAGCCACAAGGACCATTTTTACCTAATGCTACTGAGCATCACTAATCTTCAGCCACCTGAATCCACAACTAATGAGGTAGAGGCTCCAACTCACAGAACCAATTACCACCACCAAGGATTAGATTAATGCAGGCTTGTTCACATTTTAGAGCAAAAAGCAGTGTGCATTAACCCTTTCACTGCCACTGGCAAAAAGTACCAATACACATATGGCAGCACGGACTTGTAAACGGTTTCCTGGCTGCTATATGAGCCTGGAGACGGTCACTTTCATACAGGCAGGGGTTCATTTAACTTCTTACACTGTACGTCCACGTCACTAAGTGCCCAAATGACTTCTCATGTATACTGTACGTAAGCAGCTATTCAGAGCTCCCAAATGCCGGTAACCGCTCAGATTAGAGCTGCAACAGTTATTCGATTAAGTCGATTAAAATCGACGATGGAAAACGTTGTCAACGTTTTCCATCGTCGATTCGTCGGCTAAAATTCAAATTTCCCGCTCGCCGCTGCTTACGCCCGCCGTTTACGCCACTTACGCCCGCTGCTTACGCCACGCCCACGTCGTTTAAGCCGCTCGTGCCAACGCCGGTATACCCGCTCACGCGACGCCGCTTACGCCACGCTGAGGACATGTGTCTGGCCCTCTCATGATCAGCAGTTACCGTTCATTAATGGAAGCCTCACTAACAAGGCATCCATTAATGAAAGATTTAAGCCGTTTCAGACACCCAATCCCTTTCAGGGATTGGGTGTCTGCCAGTGATAGGAGTGCGGTGTTTACTACACTTCCGATCACTGTTAAGCAGCCGTACACATCAGGTTTTGCAAATCCCAACCTGTACCAGCATCTTGCTGAATGCTTCAACTTAGAAGCATTCAGCAAAAGCCAAAAGCTGCCTGTCTGTAGCTTTAGTGACATCTGATCCTGACATGCTGCAGTGCATTTTAGGATCAGTGTCAATAAGGTTATTGGATGTCCCTAAGTTTTGGGCAGCCTAATAACCAAAAATAGTGACATCCATTCACAATGACTGCTTGATATAATTGACCAACACTAGCTTGTCATGTGTCCCCCTTCTCTCGCTGTCAGCAATAACTTACAGCGAGATGAGTTAAAATGTGTTTAAGAAACAGTTTTATACTAAATTATAAAAATTAACCTCTCAAAAATCTGCTGCTGAGCTGCAGAGTTGGTTTTTACCCTAATGGGTTAAATTTCTTTAAGTTAAACGCCTCATGACGGCAATGTTCAAATTATGTCGCTGTCACTAAGTGTGAGTTAGTGACACTTAATGACAGTGACATTGTAGGCCACCTAACCAAACCACTATTAGCTTTTAGAGAAATAAAATGTTAGCTTTCAGTTTTAGGCTGAAAAGTACAGAAACATTTTCTGAAATCCTAGGCATGCAAAGGTGTTCCCAAATAAATTAATTTTAATGCGTTTTTTTTAGCTGTGCTTTTTTTCTAAAAAAAAAAAAATATATATATCAAAACTGGGGGAAAAGTGTTGATTTTAAATTTGTTCCTCTTTTATATTATGTAAGTACTAAGTGAGGTGTTAGACACACATATGTGAAATAAATATGTAGCCCGATCTGTTCTCTAAAAAACAATATATAACATGTGTGGGTGCACTTAGTAAGAAAGTATATTACTGCCGTGGAAGAAATACACAGCAAACATTTTTACAAGTGTGCTGACACACGAACTGACCAACGAACAGAAACTAGAAAAAAGCTCAGTCATGAAGGGATTAAAGACAACCAGTCACCCAAAAAAAAAAAAATACTCAACACAATCTAATATACATTTACCTATAAATTTGGGTATTATATTATTGTGAACAAAGTTATTTAGAATGCTTTTTGACTAAAAATTTGGGTTTGATAAACTGCACTAATAAGTGACAAATGGAAGCTGCGATTTTTCCCCAGAGTCTCTGCTTTTGGAAAGATAATATTGGGGGGTTAAGGAATTTTCAAGCCTAAAGGTGTGCATAATGCAAAATACCTTTTCTGTTTCCAAAAGCACTCTCGGTTGATCCAAAGTTTTGATTGAAATCATTGTTGGCTGAAAGACATCAAAATAGTCAAATTAAAAAAAGTTAATACAAAATATAGCCAGGTGCTTAATAAAAAAAAAATATCTTACCCGTAAAAACTTTCTTAATGAGTACATGACAGGACACAGGGAGTTGATTCTGGAACCAATAGGTTATACAATGGCCTAGGGATGTCCCAATACCGATGCTAGCATCGGAATCGGGCCCGATACAGGGCATTTTGACAAGTGATTGTACTTGTCAAAATGCCCAGATGCCTAGCGCCAAAGCTTGCACTATGTTTTTTTTCTTTTCTTACTTACCTCGCCGAGCGTCGCGTCACTGGTGCTCCGGTGGGCGGCGCTCCGAGCGGGGTCATCTGACAAGTCTCCGGGTCCTAATTTAGGTGGCGACGCTCGGCGAGGTAAGCTAAAAGAAAAACCCGCAGCGGCCAGTCAGGTGAGAGGAGCTCCAGGTGGGGTTCTAATTTAGCTGGCAGGCACCTCTAAGCCAGCTAAATTAGGAACCCACCTGGAGGTCCTCCCACTGGACCAGCACTGCCGCTGACTCGTCCCTGCTCTCTCCGGCACAGTGAGTGAGGGCAGATTTGTATATCTATATGTACTGTACATATACAGCACAAATGTCCCGTAAATTGCAGCAATAGATTTACAATAATCCCCTGCTAACATGAATGGGTTAAATGATCCATAGTACAACTACATATTATGTACTATGGATTATGATTTAACCTATTCATGTTAGCAGGGCAGAATTGTGAGCGCCTCCCACAAGCTGAGCACTGAGATGCGATGCAGCGATCCTGCCCAGCGCCGACTAGTAGAGGCACCGCGTGAGGCTACGGGGATCGTAGTGAAACTGTGATTAAGGGAAGCTGGGATGGGGCTGGCTGTAAATCTACTGCTATAGTGTACTGGACGTGTGTAATCTATATGTAGTACATATATACAGCACACACCTCCACTACACTCCAGCAATAGAGTTACAATTCTCCACTGCTAACATGAATAGGTTAAACCATGATCCATAGTACATAACATGCAGTTGTACTATGGATCATTTAAAGTCACCTGTCCCTTTAAGAAAAAGTATCGGTAATTAGTATCGGCAAGTACATGAGGGGATACATTGGGCCTGAAAAAGTGGCTGACCTTTCGGTGATTGGACACTGGCAGGCAAAGCTGTAAGGAAAGCCCTGTATTACCTGTTCCCCTCCCAGACAGCATCAATTTTGTCATTTTGGAACCAATGGGATGTTGAGAAGCAGTCTAATAGAAGGGCAGGCAACACAGCAAACAAAGAACAGGCCCGTGAGAGAAAACACAATCATAAAAACTTGGCACGTGTGTAAATAGAGAAGATCGGAGAAACCAAAGCCTGAAGGCCCGAGAAGCACCAACACTGCTGGTAGAGTGAGTCTTCACTGGAAAGGGGGGAATTTTACTGAGTGATCGTTCACCAAATCCACACCAAACCCTCTTCAATAGGATATTGCTAAGCAAACTGTGACACCGTCACCATGCAATATCATCTGGTAAAGGGTGTGTGTGTATCGGGAAGGTTTGGACATTCTCAAAGAGGCAAGAGGAATGACCTTTGGAAAGAGCAAAACGGGTGACTAGATGCAAACAATCATGCACTTCATCCATATGGACAGAAATGGTGTCCTTGAATATAAGAGATGTGTCTGGGGACAGGTCCTTTACTACTCCACTGAACTGGAAGTAGCCCCTTCAACTTCTTCCTCAGGGAGTACAAAAGCATTCAGAAGAATGTCAGGGAGGGAATCTGATGAGGAAGGAAGAGGGGACCCACTTACTCCCCTTGTTGTCTGAGCATTCCAATAGGTCAGACCTTTTACTCATATATATTACCATTACAGAGGCGAGCTTCTCTCTGGATAGCAGGGTATGGGAGGATGCCCTAAGAGCAGGGGTGAAGAACCTCCTGCCCTCCAGCTGTGGAGAAACTAGAAATCCCATGAGGCATTGCTAGATTCTCACAGCCACGACTCCCAGATACAGATGCATCATGGAATTTGTAGTTTCACCACAGCTGGAGAGCCAGAGGTTCCCCACCCCTGCCCTAGAGGGTGCTGAGGAAGACCCTGTGGTGGGAAGGAGCGGAGCATATGGCTAGCAGAAACACTTCAGAGGAAACAGAACCTTCTCAGGTCTTGTGGCCCCGGAGCCTGCCCCCACACATCTATGAGACACTACTGCACGAGAGGTACTCAATGCGAGGGCTGGGGGACATCTTGTGTGCCAGCAATGTAGGCAGAAGTAGTAATCCAGTGTGGTGGTGCATCTGAACTGTGTAGAAATTGCCAATGCTCAGTAACATGTGGCCAGTTCAGGGTGCACCAGAAGGAAAATGGTGGGAGAATGTGCAGGCGCTTACAGCTTCCCAGGCTGCCTTTGAAACTTAATGGCCCCCATTTAAAAAAAAAAAGTGCAGCAGTCCACTCTAAAGCTCCAAGTTACTCCTTACAGGAATAAGAGGCAGTTACACTTGACCCCTTCAGCAGGGGCTTGCCCTGGCTTACCTGACCCTCAAAGCGACAGTGACCAGGTGTGTGCCATAAGCATTTAAAGGGATATTCCCGATCTTTGCCTGCCCAGTGGGTACACACCCCAAAGGGGGTATCTTCAGGGATGGTACTCCACCACAATTGACTACATCCTTGGACTTGTATAGCACCCTGTGGCAAATGTGCATGCTGCACAAAGTGCCCCATAAAAGACCCAGTGCCCTGAGCACATTACCGGCTGGCACCATCTGACATGAGTATGATTCCCCAAATATCTGCCGAGGAGAAAACAGATGCTAATGGCTGCTGCCAAGTGCAGAAAGGATGGGCTTCTCAGAGCAGAGATCAGATTGTCCATTACCTAAGGACACAAAAAATGACCCAAAAACTGAGGGAGGCGGGGAATGGACGGGGATTTATTGGGCTGTCCTTGTAGCTTTGATTTGCAAGTGTCTAGTCACCTAAAGATAACTGCATAAACCAGTGGTCCCAAATTCACTCCCTGTGTCCCGTTAAGATTTGTGTACTCGTTAAAATCCCTTTCTCTGCATTCATTGAAGGACACAGCGGAGACTTAAGGTGCCCATACACTGTGCGAATAATGGCCGATTTCTGAGGAACATGGTGTGAACCTAGCCTTAGAAATGTTTAGTAATGACAATCTCCTAACGCATAGTTCTAGATAATTGCAGTCATTGTATTCTTTGCATATCTTATTTCTCTTTTCTTCCCATCTTCTGAAGGTAGCCATGTTAACTAAGGGCACGTTACTAGATCACTTTAAATCCTAGGAACTTTGGCGCATATAACTAGGACATGTGACCATGCACATCTCAGATGAGGGCCCAGGACCAGCACACACACATGCAAACATACGTCGGGTGCGCCTATGTGCCAAAACGACGATTGCGCCCACTGCGTCGTACATGTTACATATCACCACGAACGTCTGATCGTGAGCAATAATTTTAGGGCCATCAATCACTGTTAACACTAAACTGATCAGCAGTAAAACACTTTTCAAGCGTCACCTAGGGCCAATTTTGGGTATGGTAGTTTTTTGCGATTTCGCAGGTATGCGCAATTTTAAAGCTTGACAAGTTTGGTGTCTACCTGGCGTGACCCCGTCTTTTATATTTTACCTAAAAATTGGGTAATGTAAAATGTTTCAAAACATAACGTAGGAAAAACGTTTTTTCAAAAGTCAGTACTTTTTTCGCTATATAATAAAAAAATAGAACCCCCAGTAGTGATTAAATACCACCAAAAGAAAGCTCTATCTGTCCCCAAAAAATTGTATAAAATTAATTTCAGTACAGCGTTGCATGACGGAATACATCTCAGCCAAAGTACTGCAGCGCTGAATACTGAAAACGGCCTGGTCAGGAAGGGGGTGTAAACACACCGGTCTTCAATTCGTTAAATGTACCGCTGCAAAAGGTGGAAATGGGCTTTAAGCTTAGGACTCACTTTCAAAATTACCCAACTTACTATTTACATTGTTTAAACCTAAAAAAACTGGCAAGGGTTTGTCTGAAGCCATTATTAAGAGAAAATAAGTATAAAAATGCTCCTATTCGTTGCCTTTATAGCACAACATTAATATCCACTATTGCACTTACATGAATAATTATTTTGATTGCGCTCCTGGAATGCTGGCTCCTGGGAATAAAGAAAAAAGTCAGGTAACTGAATGCTATACCACTATTACATTGTAAACATTACTATACAGTTTTACTTTTGAAGTAACACTTATGTCTGGATTTGCGAGGGACATTAAAAAGAAAAAACTTTCTTAAAATAAATGTTTGTTATAGTAAGGACTAGCCCCCATTAATAATTAAAAAAAAATCCTGAAGGTTTAATGTCGCTTTAAGGCTCAGAGATGGCTACGGTGAGGGTGGGAGATCAGCTACAGAACATGCAGGGGAAGCTGCCAGAACGTATTTGTGGACTTTGAATTCAGAGTCGGCAAATAAGGTGATATGGACCATAAAGTAATGGGTAACTGTAGTAAAAACCTTGTGAAAGAGGAGCCAGGAAGACACCCAGTACAACAGGCTTGTCCCTCATGTCCTGAATGAATGTTGTGACTGCGTGGCGATAAGGCTCAGGGTACGAGGCCTCCGCTACTCACAAAAACTAACCACTAGTAGCAGGTAAGGGTCCAATGTAGGGCTGCAGCCAACTATTACTTTCATAATTGGTTAGCCGATTAAACGGATGAATAAAAAGTAATTTATTTAAAATAAAATACTTAAATGCAGTGTTACAGGCAAAGTTTACTTCAGAACAAAACGGTATGCACATTTTTTGAGATCGCACTGCACTGCAATTCAGGGCATTGCAGAACAGCGCGTTCCAGTGCAAGCCATCACACTTGGGGACGGGAGGTTCATTTGGGATCCATTGAAATGAACAGCACCGCAACACACCTCTTGCAGCAAAATTTGTCAGGCCGAAACTGAAAATGAGATAGATATATAATAGATATATATATATAGATATATAATATATATATATAGATATATAATATAGATGGATGGATATTATGGATATGGCTCCCAGCCTCTAGATGCAGAGGAGGAACTGGGCAACGACCGGGCGGGCTGCAGTGGTCTGGGTCCCCGCAGCCCCTGCCAATAGACGGGGAGAGCAGAGGGGATTGAAAGGGACACAGACAGATGCAGCCAGCGGCAAATAATGCAAAGCAGTGGCAACTAATCAATGAGAAACGTTACCAGCGATTCTCACTATCAAATCAAAATAGCTTAGATGTTGCAGCCCTAGTCCCATGCAGACTTAAGTCACTGTAGGATAATATAACATTTCCATAAGGCACTTTCCAATGCAGGAACCGCACCAGAGAAAATGGCGGCCACTGCACTCGGATGACATTAACACCTATGTCTAGAAGGCACTTGACACAGAAACCGAAGGTCACTTCTAGGCTAGCCCTGCACGTCCAGCGGCATCCAGACAACACTCCAACGGCTAACGAAGGGAAGGGGGGAGGAGTCCGGTGACGTCGATGTCCATGACGTCACCGGATTCCTCCCCCCTTTGTTAGCCGACAGAGCCACTGG